GTGCAAAGTCATTGCTTCCGATGGAGAAGCCGTCAACGTAATAGAGGTACTCCTCGGCCACGATCATGTTGCGCAGCTCGACCATCATGTGCACCTTCAGTTCATCCCCTCCGTGCTTCAACCCGTCTGGCTCCAACAGCTCGTTGGCATCCTGGGCCATGCCCTACGTGCGCACGAACAGGATCACGAGCTTCAGGCTCTTCAAGCCCATCCTGCCCTGCACACTCTGTCCGGCTGTACGGGTTCCTCCTTGGCAAGGCACTCTTCGAGGGATGGGTTGGTGTAAACGCCGCAACCACGACAGCCAATCATGGGGTTCTCCTCATCAAGCTCATACAGCTCTCTACCAGTGAAAGCAGCCAGAGTGATGGTCTTGCCGGTCGGCGTTGTCACGAAAAACTGCATCGCGCCGTGCAGCAGCGTTTCGCACCATGTCGTGAAGCATCAGGCTCTTCGACGGCCCCATTCCCCGCGGGGCCATGACATGGAGTCTGGGGCTTCAGCTATACAACGCGTTGGTTCGTCGCTCGATCCGAGCTATATCTATATATACATACATACATACCTACAGACACGCATATCTATACATATACACATCTACAAACACATGTACATATACATGTACATCTGCATCTACATGTCCATGTCCACGTCCATGTCCATGTCCATGTCCTCCATGTACATGTACACGTACACGTACATATACATATACATATACATATACATATACATATACATATATATATACATACCTATTACATACACATATACATATACATATACATATACATATACATATACATATACATATACATATACATATACATATACATAGAGAGAGAGAGAGAGACGGAGAATATTTTCTTCTTTGCGAAGCTCTGCCTCTCGTAGGCTGCTCGGCTGCTAGACGAAGCCTCCGTGCCCTCCTGAGCTGTTTGGCAGATGCTGGGCGAATGGGACCCGCGGCTTCGGGTTGATGGTTGAAGGCTTGGGGTTTATGGCTTAAGGCTGAGGGTTCAGGGCTTGGTGTTTTTGAGGTTTATAGGGCTATAGGGTTCAGTTAAGGGTTTGGGGTCCAGGGCTAACGGTTCAGGGTTTGGTTTTCTCAGGTTTAGGGTGCAAAATTTCGCGGAAGCAGGGCCTACGCGTAGAGAGGCTGTCGCTGCAAATGCTGATATCTGTCTCTACTGACGTTTTTTTTGTGCCGGGTGGATGGTATGTGAAATCTTCATATTGAATATCGCATTGCTTGGGGAGGAGGACCAACTCGATCGCCCCAAGCCTATTGTAGAAGAGAGACCATGGACCGAAGTGGAACCAATAAGAAAACATCATAGAACAACCTAGACAGTTTGGAAATGTTCTTATTCTTGTTGAACCGTCGTGCTTCGTGCTGGTCCTCTCGAGGTCTTCTATATGCATCACAACGGTACGCAGAAGACCTGGAACGTCTCCACGGGCAGCCGAAACTACAAAAGGTATCGGACAGTGTTGAATCCGAATGCTCTCTTTCTTTGAAGACCCGAAACTGATCTGCGAACCTCGCCCCCTGAAGGACAAACCCTAATTAAACCCTAAACCCTCATGACTCTAGCGAAAGTGAGCCAGCTCGAGGCCAGATCTCTACAATTGGACGTCGTGTCCTTCAACACTGCGAGTGCTGCGGCGCTGAGGCACAAGATGCTCAATGAAGCGAGAGACGTAACGACTTACGAATAGACTGCTAACTCTATAGAGCCTAGAGGGGTATTGCTCTTCTCGGCATGAAAACCTCTTCGGATGGCGACATGTTGGATCGCTTTCTGCACACTGCTGAATGTTTCATGCAGGTGTCGCAGTCTGTTGGTGTGGTTGCGCGAGGGTGTGCGTGCGTGTTTGGCGCATGTGCGTGTGTGCATGTGGGTGTGGATGTGTTTGTTTGTGTGTGTGTGTGTCTCTGTGTCTCTCTGTCTCTGTGTCTCTGTCCCTCTGTCTCTCTGTCTGTCTGTTTGTCTGACTGTCTGTGTCTCTGTCTGTCTGCCTGCCTTGCCTGTCCGGCTGCTGGCTGGCTGCTGGCTGACAGGCAGGCTGGCTGTCTGGCTGTTTGGCTTTCTTTGGCTGTCTGTCTGTGTGGGTGTTTGTGTCTGTGTCTGTGTTTGTGTGTGGTTGTGTGCGTGTGGTGTGAGATGGGTGTGTGAACAATAAGTACAACAGCAGCAACAGTAACAGATAAGAACAGTATCTTCTATCGCTGCGGCTTCTACTTCCACTACTAATTACTTCCACTACTACTACTACTACTACTACTACTACTACTACGACTACTACGACTACTACTTCTACTACTACTACTACTGCTACTACTACTACTACTACTGCTACTACTACTGCTACCAGTACGTATTTGCTACCACTTCGACTATGTCTACGACTGCAACTCCGACTACGACGACTACTACTGCTGCGTAGCAAGTCCTAAACTCAAGCCCAGTTGGAGGGACCCATCATGGTCCCATGCAGGACCCCGGACCTTGATGTGGGTGGGCGGGTGGGTCTTTGTTCATAGGACACCGACATGAAGAAGAAAAACAAAAGTGCGAGGAAGCATTGCGTTCCACTCACCAGCGGCTTCGTGCTTTTCGACGTGTGGAAGAGAACGGGGCAACAAATTGCAAATCCAATGATTGAGGTTTCTCGATGAGCGGATAAGCTTCCTTGCGGTCTCCTTGCAGTATATTATACCAGTATGACGTTATGAAGAACATCGCATACGATAACTGTGTTCAGCGTCCCTCGATGTCGGAAACCCCACACGACAAATCCGCGCATGAGTTTGCAGGGGTGCGCTTGACAGTGCCAACAGCACGGGTCAACCTCTGTCAAGGCACTTACATCACACATTTCCTCTGGGAGACGAAGCACATTCAAGGCCCCGAATTCCGAAATCCATTCAACAAGCTGGACCTCTAAACCTTCAGCCCTAAACCCCCCTAGCCGACACCTTACAAATGAAGCGGAGCTCCGCGTACTCCCCTGCCGGAGTCTCAGGCCAAGGGTCTGCAAAGTTGAAAGCTTGTGTATTACAAAGTCTGAATGCTTGAAACTGCCGTGGGGGGAGGGGGGGTATGTTATATAGTGTATAGGTACTATAGATAACCATCAGAAAAATTATTGCCAATTGCATTAGGCGCCTTCTGTTTGCAAGATTGTAATTCATGTTAGGTGCATGGTTTAGCGCCTCGGGTTCGGGTAAAGTCTGCAATGCCTTGATCTTTTGCATAACTGTATTCCGAAAGCTGGAACAGCACGACTAACGTAGATGCATGAATCTTCACTTCTTTCAGATTCTTACGGCTCTCTCAACACAGCTATAGTTGAATGTACCCCACTACCCTATTCTCAGCAATAAGGCCCCTGTGATACACATTCGTGTAGAATAGGGTGTAAGGGGTTTTACACAGCCGGGTTGACACTTCGCTAAGTTTTACACAGTATAACTCCTTGCCTTCAGGAAAAAGGAACTCGTAAACAAAAACTCACAACTCAAAAACTCGAGGATATAAGTGAAGCTAGAAACAGCTAGAACCCTGAAGAACCCTTACGCACAACGAACGTTTAAGCTAAGTGGGCCATGTCAACGTAGATGCGATGGTCTCGTTGGCCATATATATATATAGATTACTTATGCATAGACCTGCAACGAAACCGGCCATGCCAAGAACCCTCAAGCCAAACTTTCCTGGGCTCAAAACCCCGAATGCTTAACCCCATGCAAAAAAAAACAAACATCAGCAATGAAAACTGATCCTCTGACGGCATTACCTCGCAACACTCAGCCCCAGGGCACTTGAACCCTGGTTGCCCTCTATCGCCTCCGAAAAATTGGGGTATGCTTTGTATTCAATGTAACCAGGAGCCCAACAGTAAATAAGGCTTGAGGGTACAATTTGGGATTATTTCTGACACTTGAAACCCTAATCACGCTTAGAATCATCCTAGTTAAGCCCTGAAGTCCTCATAACCATTCGCGGTGCTGAGCCGGTTTATAAGGGAACTAAAACCCCCTTGAACCCCCCTAAACCCTAAACTCCAAACCCTAAACTCTAGACCCTAAACCACCCCCAAGTTCGAGCTGACGTCTCCCAAGCTCTCGGTTCCTCTGGCTCTGGAGCTCAGGGGGCGTTCCTCAGCTCTGAAAGCTCTACAGTACCCATAGGCTCCTAAGTAGTTCCTTTTCGTGGTTTATACTTAGAATCCTATAAGGTAATCCCAGAAAGGAACTACTAAGGAGCCTATGGGTAGAGGCCAGAAGCTTGGGACATGAATCTCCTCATGCCCCTTGAGGTAAAGTCTAAGGGATCCTAGCACGAATCCTCCGAAACGTATGTTCCAACTTTCTGGGATTCGCTGAAGAGGTTCATGGGTGCTGCTGTAAACTAGGATCCCGTTTCGCATCCTTGCTACAGCGGGTGCCGTACTAAGTAGTAATTTTCAAAACCCCAAAACCCAAATCCCTGGAGAAGTAACCTCACGGGAAGGGGTCCGAATGGGAGATTGGCGGCTCAGGTCCGATGGATGACGCGAAAGAAGGGTTTCGGATTTAGGGTTTTTAGGGTCCCTCAGATCAAGGCAATCCGCCCACGAAGGTCTAGAAACGGCTTTTGGGGTTTAGGGGTTTAAGGGCTTATGGGTTTGACGGCTAGCAGCCTTTTATTCAATTCAGAAGCGAGCTCTTACGGTTCTACGAGGATGTGGTGCGTGCACGCGTTCTTCTGTGAGCTTCAAGAGCTTCAACTGCTGGTTTACAATTTTTTGTCATGTGCTCGCATAAGATTACTGCACCGCATAATGTCCTAATAAATTAACCGGAAGTTTGCAATAGTTTTGAGCAAGCCATCAAAGCCAAACCCCTGGGCACAGAGTTCGGGCAACCGTCGCAAATCCATCATCGATTGTTTGTAGTTTCGGCAAGAAAAACCAAGTTTCCTATGAAACCTCCACCAAAGCCGGCTGGGCACCACTCACTCCCACTCGTCTTCGGCTCGTCCGCCAAGAAGTCCGAGCACGAGCTTCGCGTTCGGATGGCCGAGACCAATCCTCTGCATGGCTTCGGCTTCCGCTTCAAAGCCCTGGCAGTTTTAGGAAAGAAGGGAACCTGAAAAACAAAATGCCAAGACATCCCGCATGATTTAGGGCTCAGGGGCCGAAATTAGGGCGTCAACTCTGGAGGGTCTTAGGAGCTCTACCTGCCCTTCTTCGTGCTCACTCCCCCACCGCCATTCCAACTCTTCTGAGCTCTCTCGCCCCTCCCCCCTCCCTGCCATTCTCCCCGTCCTCATATTGTTTCAGGCTGGGAAGCGCTTTTATGACTATGACTACCCGTGTCAGTCTTAGGGTTGCTAGGCCGGCTGGGGCCTTATCACAGCTTGGGTTCTAGAATATAGAATAATGTACGGGACTTCATTATTGAATAAGATTATAAGGGTATCCATCAAAAAGTATAGGGACACCAAAGGGGTTCCAACTTCTACTGCCACTACTACTGCTGCTGCTGCTGCTGCTGCCGCTGCTGCTGCTGGCTACCACTGCCATCACCACCTACCATTCCCACTACGACTTCTCGACGGCTAGTACTATTGAACAGCCCAAAAGCATACCTCACGGACACGAAGTTCTTACAGGGCTGCACTTGCCTGGAAACTGGGTTCGATATGGGTCTGAAGCTGTCTGAAGAAACTGCACATCCGTCTATAGTCAACGCGCAATAGCTCTTGCCAGGAGCCGTCCAGCCCTGAAGCTGAGACCTTAAAGCCTAAGCCCGAAACTGCACAAGTCCAGGAGCCACGATGGGGGCGGCTGCGGCGTGTAGCGGACCGCCGTGTTTCCGACGAAGCTGGGAGTCGTGTATTATCTCATGCGGTCGACGAATGAAAAGGATACGTGGGAAAAAGCGATGCAATGAATATGGCGATACGCACACATGGCAATCATGACGATAAGTAAGCACAAGATGGAATCATATGACTTTGTTTCACTTGCAAGTCGGTTTGGAAGATGCAAGAGCTGTTCGGATCTTGGCAACGTCCATAGCTGGGCGAAATTGGAGGCTTGGAGGACTTGTGGGGTTTGCGGATTTTGACTATAATTTTACCACACCTACCATCTCGATTCCGAAAATATAAACCGTATAAACCAGAAAAAGGAACTACGATGGAGCCTGTAGGTACACATCAACCCCAAATACCCGACAGGTGTCTCCACCCACCCGCACACCCACCCCACCCATCGATCCATGCCATCCGTCCCCTTACCGAGGCTCTGAGACCCAAGCAGTGAGAGACCGAAGTCCTTCCCAAGTGTGACGTCTTGCTGAACTTCGGCTTCCCCCAGCTGTGGTGTAGCAACTTCAGGTGCTGCCCATACAAGACCTCTGAAGACGCTGAGCACCAAAACTGTATACTCTGTTGTAAAAAATATGCAAATTGCACCTGCACATAGAGCTCGAAGAGCTGCTGCTGGATCCCTCCCAAAACTCGTCCTTCATGGGGTTTAGGGTTTGGGCTCATGAGTTGGGCTGGAAGGCTTGCTTCACCTAAGCTTAGATTGTGGGGTTGGGTTAGGGCTTGTGCAGGCTTTTCTCGGCTCTGGCATGTCAGATCCGAAATCCAACTGCGCAAGTCTCCAGACAGCTTTTGCCACAAGGAAGAGAGGAACAGGACCAGCCCTACTCATGTGTGCCAACTCGAAAAGCAGGCCTTGGTGCCTCCAGGGTTTAAGCCTAAGAAATATTCTCTAAGGCTTTGGGGCTGGAGTCATATAGTGCTGGCCAGATCTCAAGAGATTTAAGCCTTTCCAAGGCTTTGAAGGGATGGACCGAGGTTCAGGCATGTCCTCCCTCGGCAGACTGTGGAGGGCAAGAGCCACCGAATCAAAGATGCCCTCATTCAAGCAACGACGCCTCAAAGCACGAAGCCCGTGCGGCGTCCTCCATGTCGCTGGATCGTAGGGGATGCCTGTGATGTCGGCGGATCGCTGCAATCACTCGGAAGAAGATAATTACCGAAATCTCTGGCCCGGCATGATTTTCACTGTGGCCTTACTGTAACGATGCATACGAGGCCTTAGTACAGCCCAACGGAGCCTTCGTCAACTCTAGGCTCTAAATACACCTTTGAAGCTTCAATCATCCTAAGCTCTGAACCATCCTAGGCCAAAGCCCTAACCCTTTAAAGCCTCAACCCTCAGCCCCCTACAGTAAAGCCTAAACCCTTAAGACCAAAAGCGTCCCCAACCCCACCCCCAAACCTTTGAAGCCTAAAGAAGCCCCAAATTACTAAACCCCGAAACCCTAAACTCTAAACCCCTAAACCCTAAACCCCCTAAACCCCCTAACCCTCCTTAACCCCCAAACCCGCTAAACCCCCAAGCCCTATAGAGCCTAAAGCCCGCCAAACTTAACCCCCAGGGGCTGCGGGAGCAGAGCCAAAAATCCCCGAGGCCCCACCAGCAGAAGCAGCCTGAAACCCTACAGGGTTGCAGTGTTTGGGATTTTAAGGGTTTAGGGCTTTAAGGGTTTAGGGCTTTAAGGGTTTAGGGTTTTAAGGGTTTAGGGTTTAGGGCTAGAGCTCTCTCTCCCTCTCCCTCTCTCTCTCTCTTTCCATATATATATATACACATACATACATACATACATACATACACATATACATAGATCGATCGGTAGATAACCCTAGAACCCGATCAAAGCCCTGGAGCCTCTATACCCCCTAAAGCCCTTCAAAGTCACTAGATCTCTCTCTCTCTCTCTCTCCGCCCCTCCTTCCACATATACATATATATATATATGTATACACACACCCACACACACAGATATATATATATATATAACCGTATACAACCCATCGAAGCCCCCGAGCCTAGAGCTCCCTAATGAAGCCCTAGAGCCGCACCCTTAAAAGCCTAAAGCTCCTCATAAAGCCATACAGGGAAGCCTTCTCGAACCTCTTAGGGTTTAGGGTTTAGGGGGTTTAGGGTTTAGGAGTTTAAGGTTTAGGGTTTAAGAAGGATCCTATAGATGGCAGTCGAGGCACCTCAGACACGTCTGCAGCGGTGTGAGCTGCGCCGGATCGTTGAGTTGCGTGGAGACGGGCTGTTGGTCGGAGTCGGTGCCTTGCTTCCTTGGAGGACTCGGGATCTGGGGAACGAGCGTGTTCTGCATTGGAAAATTATCTCTCTCTCTCCCTCTCTCTCTCTCTATGTGTGTGTACTGTTTACATGTATTCATGTACATCTTTATTTGTATTGATAAATTTCTGTATATATTTTATACTTAACTAATTAGTTGCATTAAAAATGCCCTGTTTTACATTTCATGCTACGGTGAGGGTTTCAAGGTTTGGGGGTCTAGGGCTTTAGGCTGTGAGGCTGTACACGGCTTAAGGCTTCAGGGTTGAGGGGCTCGAGGTACCCGAGAGGCCAATATGCCTTCATCATACCGAACGCTCCTCAAATCATAAGAGGGATCCATGATATCCTGTACGGTATATCGCTCAGACTAGAGGGCATTCGGATGTCCGGGAGTGGGGTCGGGGGGGTTGCTGTCAGGTTTGCGGACAAGATTCAGGCTTCAGGGTTTAGAATGGAACCCTGCTGAGGAGGCTTAGGATCTACCCATAAAGCCCAATAGCCCTAAACGCTAGAATGAGAGATTTCAGGCTTCTTCCGAACCCATTATGCCATGGGAGCCTGAACGTCGAGCTGGCGCTTGACTGCACGCACATTTTCGACGAAGCCGGCAGGCTGATTTCTAAATTTGGGTTTAGGGTTTAGGTCTAGGGTTTAGGGTCCACCGGCTGCACCACCATCACCATCACCAGTAGCACCAGCAGCACCATCACCGCATGGAAGCAGGGAAGGGGTGTGACTCTTTTTGGCTGACTGGGGGAGTGAATCGCATGCCCAACCCAGGCTGCACTTCGAACCTCTTGACCTCTTGATGGCTCTTTAATAAAAGATAAGAAAATAGTATACAGTCATTACCTTATATTCTGCAATTGTCGTATTCTTGCCTGCTGCCTGCAAGGTTCAGGACACGTCCCGTACATCCCTACCATGCAAGCCCAGATGCAAGTCCTTGTTGCGGGACTTGTCCTGCATAGCTCTGAGGAGTCTCGGAGGTGGAACGGACTTGCCGTTGCCGAGGCAGGCTTCATATTTCTTGCTTCAAGGCCCTCTCTTTCTATTGTGAGCGGCGGAATTGCTGGGTGGGGGCATGTCTCCTTCCATCAAAACGGTTGCCAGCTCGCCCAACTAACATCGTAACAAATCAACCGCAATAGCCGGAAAGTCAACGAGGACCCCTGGCAAGTACAATGACAGCAACGAGAGCAAGGACAACGATAAAGCAAAAACCAGCTCGACCCTCACAACCCTGCATCCCAATCCCAAAAAGCCTGAACCTCCAATCCCAAAACCCTGAACCCAAAACCCGAAAACTCAAATCCCAAGATAGAATAAGGGATCATATGATCCCAAAAAAATTCTTTAGTGTAGCAACCTAAGTAAAGGGCCTCCTTCTGAGCGGAGAAGAAGCCCGGCTCGTCGAGGAAAGACCATCCCGAGATTACGGACATGGCTGGGAACCTCAAACTGATCAGGGCTCTCATGTAGCGAGGGTTTAGGGTTTAGGGTTTAGGGAACCTCAAATTGATCAGGGCTTTCATGTAGCGGGTCTTGGGCCTCAAGGATAAGAACCATAACAATGGTTCAGACTTTCTCAGACTTACTTCAGATCTCCATAGTAGATTTGCTTTTTGGTTTTGTGTTTGTGTGTGTGTGTGCCGGGGGTTCTTTCGTGGCATTGGTGGGGCTTCAGTGCTTTTCGGGTGTTGGTTTTTGAAGCTTTTGGAGTTTGGCGCTGTGAGCCTTCACGGCCTTCAGGGCTGCTCCGGCTTGGACCTCGGAGTCAGGGCTGTGAGCGTCTTCCTGCCCCGCTGGGGATGTTTCAGGCTTGCATTCTTGGTGGCACAGCGCACAGGAGGTCTGACGAAGGTCTCTGGTGCAATAGCATATAACATCATGTAACACAATGTCTGTGAATGGAGTGCACATATAAGTACCAATGCAAAAACATTTATAAACATAAATACATGAAATAAGTGTGTATATATATATATATAGAGTTACTTACCTGTTCATTTACATGTTTAAAGATCACAAGCTGACTATTAAGTTATTAAGGATAAAGGGGCTGGGGAACTGCAAGGCTTCGAGTACCGTTGAACACTTCCCGGACATTCGACATCTCGATCTGCCAGCATAAGCGCTCTGAACCAGACAGCTTCTGCCGAGAAGATATGCAAACACTAAACACACAGCGCACTGTAAACCCTAAACCCTAATTGTGGCTGTGTTCAACCTGGCATGTGGATCGAGAAACCACAGGTGCGGTCCTTCTGCAACCCACCAACTAGCTGGAGCTGTTGCCCAACTTCTCGGCTTCGGCTGGCAAAAAGAAACATACATCCTGACGGTAGCGAGCTTCGCAGTCGCGTTGGGCCCTGACAAACATCTACTAAGAGCCCAAGACGCACCTATATAGAAACCCTGGAAGAAGGTTCCCGGAAAGGGGCTATATGCTTTCTGTGACTTATGTGCTATTTAACTGGGACCCCAAAACCATGCGGGAGTCTGAGAGCATAGAATAGGGACCCCATCCACACACCCTGGATATCGGGATCTTTAACATAATACAAAAACCCCGGCATTCCAAAATCACCACAGACTAACCATAAGAGGGGCAATGCGTGCAGCAAGGGGAATGCCAGCTGGCTCGTGGAAAAGGCTGAGAGGTCAGCGAACGGTATGCTTGTGTCGGCAGCGCCGGATACTCCAAGTTGTCTGTGAAGGAGTGTTTATGGCTCATGCACTTCGGTCGCGCGCTTTACTTGAGAGCCGAAATGCAATTGAAAACGCTTAGCCCAACAAATATATCGAAGAGAGCTGCTGGACATGCGACCAGGCAAACATTTTCAACTGCGGAATGACTGGCTTCTTGTCTCCATGACCGCGACAGATCGCCGTTCCCAAGCTTGCACGCGCTTTTCGTTTTGATCCCGGCGAGCTTTACGTTGGGTACAGTCTTTACGGGGCACACGCACAGCTACCAAAGCGCCATCCTGCCACTATGGTTTTTTCACTCCCTCAGCAAAGGCCCATCATAACAGACCAGCACCTTCTGGATACTGCCTGTGCTTACTCAACGGCGAACATCTAGATCTGCGTCAAATGAATAGGGTCCCGGTAATCCTAGCACCTGGTGTGACCAGCCGTTCACCATCTGGACCTCTGCAGCTGTCGGCTTCAAGCATTGATTGGAATCATATGGCAGTCGGTCGGCTCATTTGCCCAAAACAGCGCCCCTTGAGTAAGCAGTCATGATTCTGAAGAAGGCGCTTGAAGGCATGGATAGTTCACTGTGGCTTTATGACACGAAGTCTCCGACCTTGCCATGTCGAGTCTAGGGCATCAGAGCTTGGGGATTGCTATGCTGATCAGAATCCGGCCGTTCTTGTTGGACAGGCTTCCATCCTGCAAAATGCTGCCGCGACCGTGACAGCGATGAGAACAGGGAGACTCTACCGATACTAGTAAGTCATGAGAACAACACTAGAAGACATGACATGGAAGCAGTTAACGCGACAACCGAAAACACCAATGCCCATGAACAGCAACATAGGTCGGGCTCGCGCTGTCAAAACCGCAAGCCCTATACAAACTAAAAAACCCTGAGCTCACATCCCGTGGTAGTCCCATGCAGAACCGAGGCAAGAGGGTGCCAAGTATTCTAGGATAGGGATGCAAGTCCACGGCTTCCCGTGCGGTATTGTCCGAATCGTGAGAACTCGACTCTGGCGGAGCGGGAGGCAATTAAAAGGAGCCTGGTGCAAGTTGTACATGCCCATATCCTTCCTTGGCACCCGGCAGCGAAATTCCGCGCCGGTGTTTGGACATAGGATTTGGGCTGCTCCTGCTCCTTCTCCTAACTACTACTACCGCCACGACGACGACGACTACTACTACTGCTACTGCTGCTAGTATTATTCTTATTACTACTACTACTACTACTACTACTACTACTACTGCTACTACTACTACTACTACGACTACGACTACGACTACGACTACGATTACGATTACGACTACGACTACTACTACTACTACTACTGCTGCTGCTACTACTACTACTACTACTACGACTACTACTTCTACCTCCACTTTTACTACTTCTTCCACCAGCAGCAGCAGCAGCACCACCACCATCACAGCGACTACCACCACGCCGCCATCGCCACCGCCACCAACACCGCCACCACCACCATTACAATGACTACTACTATCATTCTGGTGCACCGAGATGGGGTGCAGGGTTTCACTGTTCTTCGGGCCAGCAGCCCGGGGCGTGACCGCACGGGCAACCCTAAACCGGATTTAGGCTTCATGCAGGGCTTGAGTTTCGGGGTTGATGGCTTAATTTGCAGTGCTTAGGGTTTTTCGAGTTTAGAAGTCTAGTTCTTGGGGTTTGGGCTTTAGGGCGTAACTATGGATTGAGGGTTTAAGCTTGAGGGATTAAGGCTCATAAGGGCCCTACGCACGAAAGGGCTTTCAGGGCTTGTTGGCTTGTTCTAGGCCCTTAATACAAAAAACTAGGACGAATATGGCGGCTTGAAAGCGCCTTCTTAATTTTAACCTCTCACTGCAACCCTAAAGGCCCCACCATGTACACAAGTAGTAAATACGTTGGCCCTTAAATACCTAAAGAAGGACTACTTTAAGTCAAAACAGTAACTGCCAACGTATGTACTATTTCGGTACATGGACCCTCGGGGTAAGGATATGTTCAAAGATTCGTTGTCATCATGGCCATGGCAAGAAAAGATACACATAAAAAAATAATGTGGCCGCAGAGGCTACTATGGCAGTGGGAGGCCCCTCCACTTCTTCAGAAGAAGAAACTGGTGGATGCATCAGACACCAAGCTGGATGCGGCTTTTCGCCGGCCTTCAAACCCCCATACCTGAAATGAGCTACATGAATGCAGTACATACTGCTAGCATTAACCTTACACTCGAAGCAAGAATATCTTCAGTGATTGAGGACGGTCGTCGATTGGAACTACCATGCAGCCCCAAACCGCGGGCAGTGCACCCGTGCACTCTTACGACAACCCCCCGATGCTAACGCCCATGCTCCAAATGGGTGGCGGGCACACTCGTAAAGGCCCTGAAGGAATCCTTCACCCAGAACGAATCAACCTATTGGAAGCACCCGCATTGCAGAGAAAGCAGCTTATAGTCCCAAATCATCTCGAGCGCCCCTGGACGTGCTCCTTTGGCCTCGAGTAGCTGCATTTGAGCGGAATTGTGCAAGTCACTTTGTCACTGTTGGCGCTGTATAGGTTATCTGCATGTCCATGCTGAGCTTCGGCATCATTCGTTTTCTGCACTGTGGCCTTGGTACAATCAGTACATATCCGTGGAACCATCATCTGCATATTGCGTGAAGCTTGCAGCCAGGGCCAGTGTTTCTGGACAGTACTTGCAGGTGACTCAAAGTGGCATGCTACGGGGGGCACTTCCCCATCATGTGACTAGACGCATGCATGCCCATCACCACAAGACACTGGCCAAACTCATAACATCAGTCTCCGAACTTCAGAAAGCATCATCCCTATGACACGCAATGGCCGTTATCACATGAAATCTCTGCTCTGTCAATAACCTCCCTCTACCTGAGACTGCCTACTTCAGACAAGCCGATATGTTCGCTTTGTAGGGGCTGTAAGGGGACAGTATTAGTATTCGCCCCTAACTCACAAACTAAGCCTAGGACTAAGCCCTCAACACCACTCTGCCTGCACTCAAACCCTAAGCCCCACTGAGGCTCAACAATACAAGTCCCACTGTCGGCCGAGCAGCTGTGTGGAAAGCCTTCCCGCCCTCTCCCACCACCTTGAGGTTTGGAGGTCCCGAAAATCAGGGGTACCTAATTTTGGGGCCCTTCTAATAAAAAACCCACGATTTAGGGTACAATATTCGGGTCCCCTATTTTCGGAAACCCCCATTTAGAGCTTGCAGGATGGTTGAATGTTTGTGGGATTTAGGCGGTCTATAGGGTTTGGAGCTTTTCGGGCTTTGAGGCGGTTGAAGTGCTTCGGGTCTTCAGTTATAGTGCCCGGGAGACTCGAGCTACGTTGAGGGTTCTGATGGGTTCACAAAGTGCGGCGATGCAGGGCGCAGATTTTAAGTAAAATTTCGGGTGTCGGGGTCGGCTCGGAGGTTTGTAGGGCTCGTCTAAGTCCCGATTGCATGGGAGGCTCTAGGCTCAGGGCTTGGACGCTTGTGGACTTTTTGGGATGCAGGGTTTCAGGTTCCTTCTAAACAAGCACGGGATCTGCGACGGCAGACCGCAAGCGCGGCGGCGGGCAGAGGGGTATACTATCAAGGGACCATCGGAACCCACACGCTCCAGTTCAAGACCCTAAGGGTCCATGTACCCAAATAGTATATACATTGACCTTAATGTGGTTTTTAGAAAAGGTACTTTAGGGCCAATGTATATACCAGCTGGGTACATGGACCCTTAGGGAGAGAGACCTGGCCCAGTGCAGCCTAGAAGCAAGGTCCGTGCCGAAGGTGTAGAGCTTCACAACTGCGTCTCGGACGTCGTCGGTGATGTCCGCCACCTCCCAGCCATAGGGCATCCTCGGCAGATCTTACAATCGGAGGGCATGTTACAACAAAAACAAAGCTGGTCACCGCCTCAGACTTCAAGAAAGCTCTCCTAGTCCTGCTCCCTCTCTCTCCTTCTGCCTCCCCTCCACTCTGAAGCAAGAGAAGCTCAGTGTGGATGCACTCAGATATACTCCCACCCTTGGCACCGAAAACTCCTTCTCCTCGCTACTCTTAGAGTGATCTACAGGTCTCTTCACCGAGCCGAGTGTCTGAATACGTGCTTTCTGACCGGCGGAATCTCCACCTGAGTTGGGGGGTGTGAAATCGATGGTTGCGTAGTACCGGCCATTGAACTCCACCGAGTTTGCCTTGTGCTCCTCCGTGATTTGTGGCTTGTCTGGACCTCGGACGGCTGGGGGCGGGATGCGCTTCTCCATCTTCTTCTTCTCAGCCTCACGGCGCTTCTGTGCCTCGCGCTCACGCCTGCTGCGGCTGCGGCTAAAGCGACGGTCACGAGGCGGGGTGCGACGTGGCGGGGGGCTATACCTGCTGCCACCACGGCCTCCACTGCGACTTCGGCTTCCTCGGCGGGACCGGCCTCGGTCGCCTCCGCCGCCCCTCCTGTCATCCCGCCTGTAGCTCGGGCTTCTGCGCCTGTAGCTGGGGCTCCGCCGACTGCGGCTGTCTCGTCTAGATCCGCGGGCTGGCATGGCTCAACTCTGCGTCACGATTCGGACTCTATCTTCTCTGAAACTTGAAGCCACATGCCGCGGCGATCGGTCGCTGAACATGACAACATGCCGACTTCCTGCAGACACTGTCGAAGTGCAGGTATCCCATTCCGATACTTGACGTCCCTGATACAGGACCTCTACATGTAGCAGTTTCGGGTGGAGGAGGACGCGCAGGGCAAGAAATGATGGTGCTCGTTAGGAGCCCCGGGATCTGCATGCACATTCTGCGAGATTCTGGACACAGCGCTAGCGGCACTAAGACAAGCCGCCAGCAGTACGAGGCACATGGCTCCAAGGGATGTCCGGGCTTTCGGGTAAACGCATCACCGTATGCACTCCGAAGCGGTCACGAAATCCTATACATGACGCAAGCCCTGGACAACATTGCAGAACAGCCGACACTGGACTGGACTTCTGCATCTTATAGTTCGAACAATCTCATCGTTTGGTCTCACTACTCGTCGTGGCATCTTTAAGACAAGCTGCTGCCACCATTAACACTCTAAAGCGATGCCCACTCATATTTCATACAAAATGTTCCGGTCCTAGTAAACCTAAGGGCTTCTAGGAGGCTCCGGTCTGAACTTCATCTGAAGCAAAAGGGACCAGACACCCGTGGACCGAGGTCCGCGCCGATCATGTACGACGACACGTGCATAGCGCTTATAAACGGCTTTGAAGCCAATTCCCATAAAACCTGAGTGGAGGTGCTTAAATACGACTTCCTTCTTTTGAGTGAAGGCTTCGGTATTGTAGGATCTGCATACTCGAAAACACAGTATAACTAGCTTGAGTTTCTGCATGCTTGTACCCAGATGACCAGTGAATAGCACCAGGAATGTGATGCCAGAAGCAACCGCAACAACGACCGAGGGGCATCAGGCCCCGAAGCAACAACATGCCAAAAGTTCTCTGGTACTGTCTGTATCAGAATCATGAGCCCGGCGCAACGCTAGTTAGTAATCGTCCTGCTCTTTGTTACGACCCTACACCCTGAACGTGCCCTCAAGACGAAAGCCCTAAAGCCCACACAGCCATGCAAAAACCAAAAACCCAACCTCTCCCTTCGGATCGCGATGTAGAAGTTTAAACCCTGAAATTCCTGCCTCGCCTTGGGGAGGGGGGGGGGAAGGATGAACTGGCAAACCAAGCACCGGATTCTTAACTAGTTAACTAGTTAATGACCATGGTAGAGACCTGTAACTCTGCAAGTGTACTGCATGCCCCCTGCTATGGCAATATGGTAATTGAAGATGGCTCCCCTACACCGTGAACCAAACCTACGCGGCCACGGTGCCTTGGGTCTGGATTTTCGGATGTGCTGGTGGTTCAAGGAGCAGGGCTGAAACGGTCTCTCCATTTCGGGCTTACACTGGTGCAAAGTGGGGACTCGAGTTTTGGGGTCACGTATGTTGAAGGTCGACGTTTGCAAAGGGAGGCTTGAGCTGCAGCTGGTTCAACAAGGCAAGATTTCAGAGATCGTGCGTAAGGATAGACGCCGGGGTGCTGGGTTAACGGTTACGGGTCATGTTGACCGTTTACATGTTTCGTTCGGCCAAAGTGCCTCGAGGAAAACCCGATGACACCCAAATCCAAGCAAGCTGTTACTAACATAAGAGATCCGCATTCCAGCATGCGTAAGCTTGCAACATTCCAAGCCGATCTGAACGATTGCCAGGCTCCCAGCCGATTGTTCGTTTTTGACCGTCGCCCTGCACGACATTGGATGGCAAGGGTGATCAGAACGCAAGCAACAACAAGCAAAAGCAGCAGCAGCAGCAGCAGCGACAGCAGTTGCAGTCACCACTACCGCCACGACGAGGATGCTGACCATGCCTACGGCTACCTCAACGATGACCACGACGACGGCGGCACCACATACACGACTGCAACTGCCACTGCCATTGCCACGCCCGCAACCACTATCAATACCGATACCACCATCACAATCTGCTACTGCTACTGCCACTGCCACTGCTACTGCCGCGACGACGACGACGACTACTACTACTACCACTACCACTACCACTACCACTACGACGACTACTACTGCTACTACTGCTACTACTGCTACTACTGCTACTACTGCTAGTACTACTACTACTACTACTACTACTACTACGCTGCTGCTACTACTACTACTACTACTACTACGACTACTACTACTACTACTACTACTGCTGCCAATACTACTGTTCATATTGTTGATATTGCTCCATTAGGGCTTACGGTGGCAGTGGTAGTGCTAGCAGCAGGATCAGGAGCAGGAGCAAGTGGTAGTGGTTGTTGTTGTCATCCCAGTAGTCGTCGTCGTCGTAGTCGACGACAATCCAAACTAGAACCACCTCAATCGCCGAAAACAATCAACTGCCTCATCACCAGATAAAATGAAGACAAGGAACACACGAGAATTTAGGGTTAAGGCTCCACAGCATGCATGTGGCCTTTGTCGACAGGCCTACCGACGACAGCCCCAGCACGTCCAGGGCGGTAAAACGCCTTGGCAATCACGTTTCTGACCTTCATGAACATCGCAGCTGAAAGTATGCATCTGAACCCATAGAAATGCAAAAATCGCCCATCCACATTAGCCGCCCCATCATGCCGCGACTTAATCAGCCTGGCTCACAATTCGCTGCACTTCAAAGGAGAACCTAATCGACCCCCAATTGCCAAATTCGTCAGCGCCTACACAACCTTGAGGGTGGTTGTAGGATCGAAGAGTCTGTGCCGCACGAGACCGATCTCCTGAAATACTGAGCGCCGACGCCGTCCATCGTGCTTGACGGACAGGCCCTGTTGCGTCGGCTCGAAGGACCTTGGCATATCTTCGAGGCTTAAAGTCGCACCACAACAGCCGAACTGCACTATGACTATGATACGCTACATTTCTTCTGTGGACAATGTAATCTCCGTGCATTGCCGCTTACACTAAGTATAAACAGGCTTACAGAGAACCTCGAAACCTCCCCATCACCTGAAGCTCGGCTCCGCGTAGGCTGTCTGTCAAACGTCAGGACGCAGCAGGGGAGGAAAACGAGCAGCAGCATCAACCGTACCCGAACAAAACAAACGAGCTGCTGGATAAAGATCTGTTGCGAGCAAGATTGAAAATAGTCTGATGATGATGGTAATGGTGGTGATGTCCATCACTATGTCGTCACGGCTGCTATACACTCTCACAACTCGGACATGCCAGGCGAGGTCTCACAGAGTCAGGTCGGCGTGATACATCGAACAGGTGCCTTCAACCACGACTATTCACGAGGGAAACAGTGAAGTATTGCAAATGACTAGGTCGTGGCTAAGGTTCGCACTACTTCGATACGATGTCCCTGCAAAGTCAGGACTCAAGCCTATCCCAGTAAGGCTAAGTACCCACAGTAGCTGCTATGCTATTTTTCATTCTATGCCAGGCTCATACTCGTCACCGCAGCGCGTGGCAATCCGTCCATCCAGCCACTGAGTGCTGGACACATGCAGTGCACCATCGTCAACCTCAATTGCGTGACCCAAAGCATATCGATGATAGACATCATATAGACAGGAAGGGACAGGTAGTATCAACTGCTTGTTGAGGCTCGTTTCTCAACAAATTATAATCTGCAGTTTAGGGTGTCGGGCATAGGCGCCCTTTTGTTTGGTAACCCGAAAGGGGCCCTAATTTTGACAACCACC